TTTTTATACTTGGTTCTATTTTATTGTTCACTGTTTTTATTAGTGTAGAAAATCAATAACCTACATGTTTATGCTTGTGTATTCCCTAGAAAAAAAATGTGATTGTTCAAGAACCTTGGAAATTGATTGAAAGATATAGATTTCTTTTTCAAGTTTCTAAGGTTCACAACAATTGAATATTATGTCCACTTAGTAAGGTGATAATAACGAGGGGGGTATAGTTTGTGTGTATTTAATATCTTAGTTATAATCAATTTATATTATAGCACAGATGTACATCATCACCAAGTCATTTCTTCATATCCACATTAATTTGTTGAGATGAGATTAACAACATTAATTCATATGTCTTGGTTGTTTATACTTTCTCATTGATGTTTAGTACTGTAATTGATCCATCACTTTTGGTAAATGTGCGTTCTGTGTGGATGGCGTTTGAGGCGAATGGTGCTCAGTTTGAGTCCGGGAGTGAACATCAACTCTGGGATGCAGATACATTCAACTGATGAGTTCAAAACAGAGCAAAACGCGCGTCCTGGATTATACCGCTGTCTATCATCTATCTCTGCTCAAAATAAAAATACGAATGATAGATGAACGTGAATGTTAATTAATATCAATGATAGTGATGAAAATTTGAGGATTAAAAGAAAGATATAGAAAATAGACGAAATTAAAATTGAAAGGATTGTAAATAATGAATTTGTCTACATTACTGAACAGTTCTATGTCATATGAGATAAAGTGGTGGTATCCAACCACTGATGCCGATTATTGTGTGGATAGTCTGCCTTAAATCATCAGTCATTGGTTTGATAGTCTTAGTCTGAACTCTTTAATCCTTTTCTCAACTTTCCATTTTGGTGTGGATTGCTTGCCTAGATGTTTCTGGAGACCAAAATATAACATCAATCCCTGAAGTGCCTAACTGCCGATGTGATCCTGGATGTCGGAAAATGAAGACTCTTTAATTGAGGCTCGCGTTAAAATACATCTTTCGAAGTTGTTTGTGGCGGTGCCGTTACTTTCATTGTCCATTTTTCTATAGATCTGAAGTTAATTTTTGCTCTTAGTTTTTCTTATTTTTTGATCTCATTTGTTCCTTTTGAACTATACTTGTCATGCCTAGATTTTCACTGTATTTGATAATTATTTTCTCTCCTTTTTCTTAACATCGTGTTATGTTTCCTTTATCAATGTGTTAATATGAAGTACGATGGTCTGGATCGATATATTGCCTGAGACATATGTTGCATATGCTTAACTATCAGCTATCTAAACAGTTCATATTTGTTGGTGTACGCGTAAGTTGCAAGGAAGTTATAGGTGATCCTGATGAAAGTGTAACAGCAATTCATGAATTCATTGACTGTTGAAATGAGCCATGCCGTTGTGTGCAGATTACTTAATTGGACTCCTTGCAATTGTTGTGAACAATGGTTAAAAACATTGTGTGATACGGCTCAGATTTGACTGTATTGACACATATTCACTCTGATTAATATTATCTGTGTCTAATGTCTTCTACTGTTATTTATACAACTTCTGTTGTTCTATCTTTTATCTTGATGATTTCATTTCAATATGCTGATATAGTGTGACAACTTGAATCGATACACATATGTGTCACATTCTATGTTGCTTATGACTGACTGATATCGATTATGATTAACTAACTGATATTGAAGTAAGTTACTTATTGCTGAGCATGTTATGTAACGTTTGTCTTATCCACTGTGTTGTAATGTACAACTGTATTTGTATGTATAGAATAGGTAACCAACTTATTGAAATATTTGTTTATGACTTTTGTGTATATAGACATTATTTTCATTTTCGAATTATTTTAGATGCTTTTCTTCATTTTCCCCTCTTTTAGATCTCGGAACTAATCGATAATTATCATCATTTAGCAGTACAAGAGAAAGAAGATCAAGAATGGAATAAATTTGCACGTAAACGAAATTACATGATTTTAATGGTAAGTCAGTTAGTCACAACAAGGTGGTCTCAAATGCTGATAGAGGAGGTATATGAGGTGAGGGCAGTTGTCACCTTCCGATAGCCCACATTATGGAAAGATATTTCTTCTTGAGAGAGCTGAGTTAGTGATAGTCTTAGCGACCTGGGAGGGTGATCACATCTCAAGAGAAAAATGCTTGAGGCAGGTCGTGCACGGTCTTCTTTCGGGAAATTTTTAATGTTGTAAGCTCCGCACTTCAAAGGACCTTACCGTCGCAGACGGAAATATGAAATTTTTAGAGTCGACCTTTTCTAACCCCTTCTTTTCGTTATGAGAAGGCAGCATCTCTGCAGATGCTGGTTGTCCAAAGGAAACACCTTACTTCTATCACACTCCTCTACAGTTGGCAGTATGACTTCGCTCTCGGACCTTAAGTTGCTTCCTTTAGTTTTACCGTTCTCCAATCGACCTGCATGACATGGTAGGACCTAAAGGAACATGTGTTCTACCCGATACAGCTCGGTTTAGTCATCACGATAGGCTACGATCGGGCGGTAAGTAGTCAGTCATTTAATTTCCTGATTGTTGTTGGGTTTAAAAGATGGAACAGCATGATTCCGTAGTCTGTTCAATAAATATGCGAGCTCCGTTTATCGAAATCGGGTTTATTCTTGGAAAATTTATTGTAAATCAATCTTATTCCCACCCTTCAAAGTATTTCTCATTCAAGGCAAGATACTTGTCACATCTTCGTTGCCATTGTCCAAAACATCTCTAGAAGTCTTCAGAAGCTAAAGTTTTTTCTTAGTTATTTCATCGTTTAACATTTCAACGTCCCTAAGAATGCTTTTATGAAATTCTGTACACGGTCGATTTTCTTTCGATTCAGCTCATTGAACATAATCCAAGTAGAGAATCACTAATCAAGTACCACAAGAGACTATATACGTTCGATAACTTATTTTAGTATAATAAGTTTATTGCCGTCCTGTCCTGTCCATCATCACTGCAGTTAGCACACTTCTCACTAAAACTCTTGATGAACTTGATAGGGGTCATTTGTTACAACACTCGTTATCTCCTGCAAATAACACTCAGTATTTCATAGATTTATTGGGAACACTTCCTGAGTTTTAGTCCCCCATACTTATCGAACAGATAATGTATTCTGTGAATGTGAAATGTCCTTCTACAATGTAGAGTCATAGCTTCTGTCCAATTCAATATGGAGGACATACAATAAATTATGTTCGTGTTATAAAAATTAGTTGCGTTCGTAGCTAAAATAAGTTGTTTGACACTGATTTACAGCCGTCTACTTACACGGAAATAAATTTTCTATTTCCTTACTGTGTATATTTAAATAACAGAATAATCTACATATTTTTTAGGAACGTTACCCTGTTTTAAATCCACGCCTAAGACGCTATTGTTCATCTTCTTGGACAACACCCAAGTAAGTTATGTTTCTTTTTTTTTGGTAATATTTATCAGTAAAGAATTTTGTGGGGATTATAGGATCTTTATAGTTTTTAAATCATAACCTAATCTCAGACTAGATTATCAACAAAGACCGGATAGCATTAAACGTCTGTTTCATCTTATTATAGGACTTCTTAGTAGTGCATATTCACTAACCCACCATAGGGTGTCGATCCTAAGACCTTCGGTCTTGCTCACAAAGGCTTAAACAAAATCTGATGGTGCATATATTTAACATTAACCGATTCGCGATATTGTTCAACTATGTTCCATGGTCTTCGATGGGTAACTGCCTCTTAGCCGACACTATTGAACTCCAATGGTCAAGGTTTCTCACTAGAACTCCAGGAAATGGATCTTGAAGCTAGTTACTAGTGAGCAAATAATTGCTGTCAGTACAGGTTATTCCATTTATTATAAAATTTCCATGGCGAGGTTGTGGATGCGCACCTTTGAGGGGTCCCGTGCTAGATCTAAACAGCTGTCCTGTTCACAGTTTCCAATGGTGGTTAGTTCGTGATTTAGAGACTATGAGTAATATTTGATCCAGTATCTGTGAGTATTTAGGCTTCTTCCGCTTTTTAGTTCTAGAAAAAGCTGTTATTTTGTGCATATATATGGTTAATTAACTAAATCCACTAGGTTCTTAGTGCCTGTTTGGTTGCGCCACCGAATGAAGAACTGTGCTGTTTAGATATTAAATGAACCTGAACGGGATCTAGTTTTCATGAAAAATGATGCGTAAAATTGACTCTTTGTAGAGTATATTTCTAATCGTAAAACTATGAAAAGGTGTAGCTCAGTGGTTAAAGTATTCGGCTTTCTGTCGTTAAGTTTTAGGTTCGAAATCCCTTCTCCACCTACTACGGTTTGGGTAACCGGTTAAATGCTATCTTCTGCCCTCACAGAGTATAGCTCAAAGTCAAGTACACAAATCTGTACACCTAGTAAATGAGCTGAATATACTAATGTATACATGTTTCTGTTTGTCATAGATTAAAACAATACTGTTAAGAATGATTTGTTAAAATCCAATTTTTTCCACTGTGTTTATAATAATAGCAGAGAAACTACTCCTAGTAAGAAGGTAACTATTCCCGCTGCTGAAGCATCTTCTGAAATCCCACCATTCAACGTTGATGAATACATCAATCAACCAATTAACATTGATAAAAGTAAGTCTGTTACTGCCTCCCTCTTATACACTCAACACCAGTATGTGTATGCTTTCCTACATATCACTATGATTTAGTCGATATATTTAATTCTGTTAATTGTCAATTATTCTTGAATTATGAGTATCATTCATTCGTAAATATACCTTCATAATACATTAGCCAGTGTACGAGAAGGAAGCTAGAAGCGACTAAACCAAAATCTAGCATTATTTCGTGAATTCATTGACTGTTTGATAGACATATAGACTATCTGATTAGAATCGTTCAGGTAACAACTAAGATCAATGGTTAGGTCACAGCGAGATAGGTTGACTCTTTATTTTCCCTTAAATGTTTAGTTCCAGTATTCTATAATACATGCATTTTGATAATAACTGCATTCTTAATTCATCTTGTATTGGTTGTTTGAGTCTTCCTATTGACGTTTGGAACTGCAATTGGGGTTCGAGTTCTGAAGCGAACATCAACTCTGGGATACAGCAGCACGAAACGCGCGTCCTAGATTTCACTACTAGTCACCATATATCTGTGCTTATATTCTTAGTATTTGTTGTGTCTTATTATCATTGGTAATAACATGTTTTCAATTGCTTTTTATTTACCTATTCCTGCTGATGTGATATAGCAACTTTAGGTAACATACATTTGTGCCAGTTTCCTCGTTCATTACGATTGATTTTACACTACGGTTGGACAGTTATTTAATCCAGAATAGTTTTTCCTCTCTATCTTATTTCCATGAAAAACGGTGATTAAATCCATATAGTTCTCGGTCCGAACCCTGATCTTCCAAACTTCAGTTTGGTCATAGCTAAACAGAGTATGATCGACCTTTGCTAGGTATGATTCAATTAGTCAGTATATAAACCTATAATTAATCTAACATTTGAGAATATTCCCATTAAGTAAATAAGACCAAACTGCCATGTAGGTAAGTGTGAGTAAAAAGTAACCAGAACTTGATTGGTTCTTGAGAGTCAATTGTAAGCAGCATAAAATCTGGCACATTATTTTATTTTGTCATTAAAATGTACTCTGTTTTCACTACTTCTAAAAATTGATTTAAAATTAATCCATAATTTTCATTACTTATTTCTTTTATCTCAAGTTACCAATATTCATCAACGTCATTTAGCTCCTCAAATTCAACCAAGATATACATCGAATTTAGAACCACGACCAAAAAGTTTAGTTGTTAAACGATCAATGCGTTGTCGTGTCTGTGAACATAATCTATGCAAAGCGGATTTTAGTCCAAGTTCTATTAAATTTCGAATTAATTTAAATGCATTATATCATGTTCCAGAATTACGATTTATTATTCCACCAACAATTAATAAAGGATCAACATTTGATTTAAAACAGACTATGAGTAAAACTAACTTAACATTGGGACGTCGTACTTCATCGACATTAGTTTCTATGAAATATGAACCTGTCATTCATTCTAATGCTACACCTGGTCAAGTAAGTGCTTATAATTGTTATAACTTGAGATGTTAGTTGATATCATGTGCTAAAGTCACCTACCAATCGAGATTCTGATTATCGATTAGTTCACTTATATTGTCAACAAGAATGGTGATCTAAGTATTAATTGACACACCAACCACTGAACAACAGCCAAGACGTTAACTCTTAGTGATCGTGAGTACTTACTCCCTTCTCTCATTGGGGGTGTTGTTTACAGAATTGAGAGGACGACAAGCGAATATCCGGAGCTTTAACCGGGTTGGTGGACACGTAGAGTCGACCTAAGTGAGTTGGAAAACTCTGACTCCAAACCAGTGGTGCACATGGGCTCCAGTATCTTGAGTGAACAAGTGGCGTATGAACCTATTGTTGGTCACCGGCTACCATGGAAATACATCTCCTTACGTTGCTCTATTGCCTTGTGGGTCAGACCTTCAGGTCGAAGGCTCCAGGTGTGGCCCCCTAAGAAAACCACCTGCTTCGGTTTGGGCAACTGGGGAATATTACATCCCTCACACAAATCAAATGAGATTTGTGTGGCGCATATGCATCTGGTGCCCCCTTGTACCAATATTTATGTGTTCAAATAAATAAATATAGATAAGTGTCTAGTCAAAAGACCCAGATAGGAAGCGCATTAGTTCTCCATTGTACCCTATTTAGTCATCACTCAAAATGTATGCACTAATATATTTAAAATGCTTGAGCACACATTACATCAAATAAGGAATCCATACTTTAAACACAATCAAGTTATAAGTGACAGTTTAGCTAATCAAATAGTTCATAACTAATTAACAATAATTAGGGAATAGTAACAACAATAACTCGAAGAAATAGTTCTGAATGTTCCAGCCTTTCCAATACTATTGCGTTATAAGAGTAATATAACTATTTCATGGTTGTTTTGAAGAATATCAGTGTAGGTGGTCAAATCTGCTTATTACTGCAATGTTATATAGTCGTCCCAAACTCTTCTATACAGATAACGGTGGGGATAGTTCTCTCTTGTCTTGTAACATGCTCTCTTACTGCCATGTGTTTATAGCCTCTTCCAGGATAGTCCCATTCACTAACTTTATGGTGAGGTTATTGGTCAGTATTCACGAACTAAATTATGATCAGTCTTTGTTGATATTTGGGTTTCCTGAACAAAAACCGTGATATTTTGTTTATAGTTGCAAGGTTTAGTATAGTTTTGAATAGTGGCTAACAGTGAAATCCGATACACCTGTTTGATCTCATGTACGACTCCTCAATTGAATCTGTCTACATGATACTACTCCATATGGTTCTTTGGTCACCCTCTATGTCTGACTCCAGTTAGATCGCACAAGTGATTGTTATCGAAATATACGTCCCAACTACCCTCATATATAATTATCGACTTCATTCACGTTAGAGATTAACGGAATAAAACAAACCAAATACGAGAATGAATTTCGATACGTATATTTCATACACTCGTTAATCCAGACAGGCAGTCAGAGAAACGAAGTGACACTCAGCCGAGAAGGCGAGTGGGCCAACTCGTTTCGATCGAACATGACTCAATATTTACATTCAGACAAAAATAAATTACAGACACCTAATGAATAGGGTGAGCAATTAACACACATACGATCATATAAAAATAATCTGGGTTAATAGGCGAATAATTGACAGGATCAAAATGTGGCTTGAGAAGAATGAACAAATTGATCTATCCAGAAATTAGAATAGCTTATGTGAGCTTAGCATACTATCAACCACTAAAGTTCACACAAGAATGTAAGTACTTTCAACTAATGCGTTTTACATAAAATGATAGTCTGCTAATACACATTTGGCTGGTTACAAGACAGTGTACAGATCGCCATGATGAGACGCCCAATTTTTTTTCACTTATGTTATCATCAAACCATCTTTGAAATTTAGTATTATTATGATCAATACATTTTCGTTTTATCCTTTCTCAGAAAATAAATATAATTTTAACCATAAGTAATCCTATGCATCGGATTACAACTTTTTCATTACGTCAATTGACTTCACAAGAAGAAATAGAACATCTTGGACATTTAATTAACAGCAATAAGCATGAACTAAATTCACTTTCATCTACAATCGAAATTCAATCTATTGATAATGCCAATGAATCAAAAAAGGATCCTACTACTATCAGTAGTGACACAGCATCATTATTGTCTGATGATCAATTAACATGTTTTTCAACTGTAAATGTAAGTTATCATATAGCAACTATTGGTGTATATAACTTATCCTGTATATTTGTCTCTATGCGATACTTTATATTATACTAAAAGAATTCGCTGGCAGGATTTAGATATTTCTATCTTTTTGATTGTTCATATTGATTACTATTAGTTATATGAGGGTGGTTATCACTTGTCAATTGCATACATCATACAAAGATAATTCTGCTTGAGGGGACTATAAAACGAAACTGGATTAGAGGTAAACTTGATAACCTGACAGGTTGACTACAGAGATAAAGGGATAACTGACTGAAGCTCAATCATACACAACTTTTTGGTGAGTATTTCTTCATTTGTCGTTGGCTCTGTACTTTTCAGACTTTACCACCATCAATAGAAATCTGTAGAACAAATTGATATTTACTACTGTTTATGATTGGGATTTTCCAGCCCTGCTTCCATTGTAGGAAGCAGCAATTCTGAATGTAAGAGCAACATTTTGCTGTCTATCTGTATGCTCCATTACAGTTTGGCCGTACGTTTTCTCCCTTAAACCCTCAGGTTTGTTGCTTATAGTTGTATTGGTCTATCAAGGATGTGTTATATCCGAGCGAAGATTAAATCACGAGTAACGTCTGAGACATATTAATTGACTAATATTATCTATATATTCTTATGGTATAACTATTCAATAATTAGATTATGTATATTTATATTCCTTTTATGATAAGCTTTATTTTGACCTATAATTTATTATTGTACGATTTACTGTTCTTAAGCTATGTTCAGTTCATTAACTACTGCCTCCCACGTTCACAGTCACTTTTTGGCTTTATTGTGTACAAATGTTATTTCCTATTTTATGCTGCGTTGCAGTCTGTTCGGTTGATATATAAACCCAGTATGTCTAAAATAAACGATTCGATTCGCATAGTGGAAGCTGGTATTGTTGTTCTGGACTCAAGTGGACGGGCTAGGCGGACATAGGACCAATAAGGACGCTAGGCTGCTCATACAGGTCGAACGTCATTGGTTTGGCACAGTGCTAAGATTGTATAAGTTGTATTTTGACTGGTGGATAAATCACGTGATAAAAAGCCGGACATAAAGTCACAACAAGATGGTAGAACGTAAGAGAATGAATATTCCAACCAATATAGTTTGGTTAGATCAACACTATATGCAAGCCCAACTACCGCCTTAATAGCGAAGCCTACTGTCGTCGTGCCACTGTGGTACAGCAACTTAGGCTAACTCCTATTTGTACTACGCTCGATGTTGAGGGTAACTGATTATCTTTCAGGATTGGTTACTGTGTCGTTCAGCTGACATTTTTATAAAATTGATACGAAATGTCTGTATATTGAGTAATTCCTAGTTTCTATTCGATTAGACAATCGACACTGCACTCCGCTTTTCGTTATCATAGTCCTAGCTTATTCAATTAATTAGATCAAAACAGAATGCTTTAATGTATAAACGTATTTACATCTTTCTTAAATGTGTGGTGGATAATAAGCTTATTAAAAGACCGTCGAGTCAACAAAGGATGGGAGAGTTTCGACTAAGAAAAAAAAACAAGAACTTCAAATTTTATAGAAATAAAAACCTAAACAGAATAGCAAATAAGTAATTGTATTTTAGATTGATTTGAAACATCCTCAACATTAATCATTGATTGTTAAATAAGCACAGTTTTATTGCATAGTTACTTTTCCCCGTTCTTTTGGTATTGACTAGCTCATTTTACCAACCGAAGAGTTAAAACTTGCACCCCGTAATGACATTATGGATTGTGATGTAACTCCAGGTCAAAGCTCTGGCGATTACAAAGATGATCCTAAGTAAGTTTAAGATAATACTGTTGAACTATTGATGAAATTACACTAACCATTCCATGTGAATTGATACATAAATAGTGACCAATATTATGTTTAACTAGTTGTATGGACTATATTTAATTAGTTGAAAGTAATCGAGTGATCCTACAGGGAGTACCAGTAATGAGTAGCAACTAGCACAAAATCTAGATCAAGCAGAGTTTCCTACCGACCAACCACGTGGCATATAATCCTTTTTGATATTAAATCAATTTTCTGATACATAATGCGTAAAAGATCATCTGGTTTCTATTGAACTAATGTATACTCACATGTATACAGTAGGTAAAACTGTCGAATGTGTTATTTCAATTCTAACGTAACAGTGATTGAAATTAACTCATGGCTATTTTGTAATTCTACATGTACCATTGACTATCTAATAATTGAAAGGGATAGAAGGCTTAAGATCTAATATGAGCGTATATCAGTCCAGATTTCCACATTTCTTATCTACATAGTGAAAGAGACAGACAGTATCATCAGTCTTACCATGATCAATGTAATTCCGTAACAAAATAGGCGGGATTATAATTTATGGACGACCTTTGAGCGACTCTGGAGTGACCTTGAGAATAGACACCCACTGATTAGTACTGAATGAGAGTTATAAACCAATTAGAATTATGGTTTACGGTTGATGGTTAAAGTCAAAAATTAGATTTAGGGTTTTCATGACGAACTGATATCAGCTATAACGCCAAAACTCTGTTTAGCCAAATGAATGAATTTCGCGCCAAAATTCATAACTCGTTATCTTATATCTGATTGGTTCGTTCATAAATTATAGTCTCGCCACGAAATAAAGTTATTTTGTACTAGTTGTGATTAACGTAGAATCCGAAATAAATGTACATCGCCTCAAATACACATACTACAACATCAGCACAGAAAAAGAATTGAGATAACAGTAGTATCAATGGGACTCAGATGCTACCAAAAGTTAAGAGTGAATCTGTCTGCATTATTGTAACCGATTCTGGTTTATATCACCTATTGTGTGATCGTACATGGACCCTATACACATAGTCTGCATATCTATCAGCCACGTTTCACACCCATCAAAGGAGCGGGGGCCCCGAATGCCCTGGTACGGCCGAGAGTGGGGAGAGTCCGCTCTCCATCTCGAAATGCTCTCACATGGCCACGCGTATATAGCCTCTGCCAGGGAAGTCCTACTCACTGCCTTCTCGTGGCGAGGGTGTTGTTTACGAAATGGAGAGGACGAAAATCAATTGTCTGACTGATTAGTCGGGTCGGTGAGCATAGAGAGTCCACCTACGGTGGATAAAGAGGATCCACATAGGCGAGATGGAAAGCCTTCATTCCATGCCAATGGTGTACGTGGCCTCCAGTATCCTGATGGAACAAATGACGTATGAACCAATCGTTGGTCACCGGCTCCCATGGGACTGCATCTCCTTACGATGCTCCACTGCCTTGTGGATCAGACCTTCAGGTCGAAGGCTCCGGGTGTGGCCCCCTACGAAAATCACCTGCTTCGGTCTGGGCACCCGGGCAGTATCACAGCCCTCACACATATCGAATGAGATTTGTGTGGCGCATATGTATTTGGTGCCTCCTTGTACCAATATCTATGTGTTAAAATAATAATAAATAAATACAAAGGAGCGAACTGTTGTACAGTAAACTTGTTCATCGGTTGGCAAACGAATACCTTGCCTACGCTACAAGTGACTCACATTGGCAAAGACCAACCGAGCTTTCTGAATTCATATCATTTCATAAAAATGTTAAGTGACTAAATCACTAAAAATGGCAGTCTCTATATTTAATGCTTATATTATAATTACACCTTTTCAAATCGATCAGACTATTGCAGGTAATCCTACAACAGCGGTGGAACTTTTGATAATTAACACCAAACTGTGGTCGAACAATTGGAGTATAAGCCCTCCTTGCGTCACTAAAACCTTACCGTGACTTTAATACCCCTGTAACCTCAATAACTTTTGTTTCCTCTTCTTTTGTTAATTCCTATCTAGGATAGTGGCCTTCCGTCGTGGTAACAAACTAGGTATTAATGTTACTTTAATACCAAAAACCAATAAGTTACCGACATTGCAAAATTCAAGTTTGGTTCCGGTTAGCGAAGATCAAATAGTTGATCAATTTCACAAATCTGAACAACTGATCCCTTTACAAGCTGCAATTTACATGAATTTCGACTACAAAAACACATCAACTACTCTGTTAAGTGCAGCGAGTAATAAAACAGTGGCAACTGACACTACCAAAACACAAGGAAAGATTCCAGAAACAGCTACAACCACTGAAACATCAATATTGTCAGCAACAACTGCCACTGCTTCTACAACATTAGAACAACGTGTTTTACCCCCAGCTGATGAAATCAAACAAATTCAAATAGTAGCATTATTTAATTTTGGTTATATGCCTGTCAACGAATAAATTAAGTACATCTAATAATAATTATTTTGTTGACTTTCAGTCATTTAACTATGTGATCAGAGTTTACATGACTTTTTCTTTGTGATGAAGCGTATTTATTAACCTGTGAACGGTGTGTTTGGTTTACATTATTCTTTTATCATAGCTTATTTTTCATATTTGAGGGTGTTTCTGGTGACTATTGAAAATGATAACAAACAGTTAAATCTCCCAATTAATTACATGTACTTCATTTTGCAATACAATAACAGGTGCAAGTCTTTTATTTACAAATAAATATTATCATACATATCACTGATGTCATTTTAACGTATCAGGTTTCTATTTGCGTTTTTACTCCACTTAAAATATCTTCAACACACCATACTTCTTCGAATGCAGTACATATTCGAGCGCATGTCTGAGCGGCCGATAAAGGAAAGTTACTAATACTGACTGTACGTTGTGTAAACTCTTTACAAGTATCGACAACTGAACCATGGGCTAATGCACCAATAACAATAACAACTGATTGAGGGTTAGGTTTCTGTGTCTCTTCAGCTAGTTGAATTGGTTTAATTTGTTCCTTTGATGAAAACGACATTGTAATAACTGGAGCACCGATTGGAAAGTGTCGTGTTACAGGGTTTTTGACGATCTATATAAAAAACTAAATAAAATTAACAAGAATACTGTACATACCTTTAATAGTTTCTCACGATTGCCACCTTCAGCATGTATTGAAAGTTTGTGTAAAAGTTGCACCATAAGCCCACAAAATCGATCGAATGTACGTGGTATTCTTGTTTTAGGATTCACTTCAATTATCACATTTTTTCTTGTTCGAATAAAAACCTTTGAGAAAATTAAAACAAATTTGTCAGTATAATTAAAATGAACTATTTTCAGTTAAGATGATAAATATCCTGCAGTTTAAAAATACAGTCAATACGAAGAAAAAATCCAGTATTAAATATCCCTGAAAAACTTATTCTAGTAAAATAATAACTGCATTTCTACTTGATGATAGTAGTCAGCAGGAAGCTTTTCATTTGACTTTTTTACGCCAGATTGTATTGCTGTGTGCAAATGACTCGTCTAATTCGGGCTGCCGCTGGCTCGGTATCAGTTACTTACCCGGTAGTCTACTTATTCCTGTAAATGGACAAAGGGGCACCAGATATATATGCGCCACAAAAATCCCATTTTGATTTGTGTGAGGGCTGTGATACTGCCCGGGTGCCTAAACTGAAGCAGGTGGTTTCCTTAGGGGGTCAATCCCGGCGGATATGACTAGCCATCATATATATATATAATTCTTCCCAACGAATTATACAACTACAAAGAGGGTAATGAGTTTCACTGCAGTCAAGGGTCCATGGTACCTAAACTCTCATTCGAAAAATTCTCTTGTATCGTAACATGTTTCTAGATTCCATCGCTCCGTTAAGTCAGCAGCTATGGCAATTGTCAATAGGACGGGCAATATCAAATGATGCTTGCTTTTTCGCATTTTTATCTCACTCAGTCATTGAGACAACGCCTTTTTTATTCGACTTCCTATTAGTAGATTCACTTATCGTAGTTATATTTAGTGGAGACGCTTACAATGCTTGGTCTCCTGAATGTTTAGTGACAATATAAGCACGCTGGGGATGCGTTTAGTCCGGCATAAATGAAACATAGTGCTGTAAGACCGGTGTTAGTTAAATAGTCAGCTACAAAGTAGGACCAGGCACATATGTGCATCGGTCCAAGATGCCATACCTCTTTAGCACAACAAGATGAACACCGAATTCATAGAAGTAGTTAGTTCAGTGGTGGTAATCAGTCAGTCGTATGTACATACATCAGTTCGGGTTGCCATACCAAATTACCACACAGATACAATTGTCCATTCAAATCCCATACTGGTAGGTGTAGTCAAGGTATAAGCAGTAATCGGAAACATTAGGGTTTGAAGATGTTACTCAATGAGTATAATCCGGTGAAATAAATTTGGAAAGAGACAAAAAGAAAGGGACATGAACAATTCAGAAGATTAGAATTTAGGAGAACACAAAGGATTGATGCACCTGCACTATTGCAAACGATTTCCAGCTATGTCACTTTCAAGGTCTCTAACCATCGGTTGCTATCACTTCGCGGATCTCAACCAGGTAGTCTACACCTACTAACATGGTTCAGCCCACTTGTCAGTGAGTGACTTCATGGATTTGTGCCATGTTTTGGTCTGGCCACCCCTAACTTTCTTCCAACCTACTCCTACACCATGAAACATCGCACGTCGAAGCAGTCGGTGGTTGGGCATACGTGACACATGTTCCAGCCATCTCAACTGATGAAGTTTCACTAATTCATCAATTGATTTGCCATCCTTATCTAGTACCCGTTTCTTAACAACTGCATTACTTACTCAGTGGTCTTAGGATATATGAGCAATGCTTCGAAGATACCTAAGAACGAATACTAGTAACCTACGAATATCCTTTACTCTTACCGACCATGTTTCACTGCCATAAAGGCAGAACGAAAATTTAATTCGTTTAGTGTCAAACGGCATCTAGCAGTTCAAGGACTAAAATCTAAGTCACAATGAGGCTGTAACGGAGAAGTACCGTGTCTAGACACAACCTAGAATTCAGAATCACTGACGTAAAATTTGTGCAATTTGTTTTTTTTGGGTCATGCAAACCGAAAACACTTTCACAAGACAGATGCAAATTACATTCAAAGTTGAGGTTAATCATTAATAAGGGAACGAAAATAGCGAGGCAATGGACTTGCACTATAAAGGTAACTATTGTTTATTTAACCTAAATTTTATGTTCTAGAACAGCTGTAAGACTTTTATCACAAGTACGATATACTGTACATTATTTTTAAAGCGGTAATGTCTCTGTTCCTTCTAGAGGCAGATAAATCAGTAGGATTTTAAGCATAATCGTTAAAATAGACAGTTCGGTAAAGGAAACATTTCAGAAGTTCCAGTTAGCCTTTGATGATACAATTATGTTGAAATAAGCAACAAGTAGGACCTTATAATAAAGCCTGAGATCAAACGCGCCATCATACTGAAAAGGCTAAACTAACCTGCAGTTTGCCAACTCGGTTTAATGGGCTATCAAGTAGCATGAGTAGACATTGATGGGTAATATCTGGACGAACTGTGGCAACATCAACACCGGCCTTTAAAATCCGATCTTTATGTCTATCAGGATTAAGTAGTTGGAACTCTTTCCCACTAGATGCCTTAACTGACTCTAGTGAAGCCTGGTCAAGCAAAATATACAATCTCACTGAATCGTTTTCTGGCATGTGCAGCTTCGTAACGTCAGGCTTAAAAAGGTGCCATTTTGAACGTTAAACAGTATATAATCCACTCTTCTGTAGTAAGAATAAGTCTAATCCTTGCGATTAGTTGAACTGTGGGTGTCTGATTCCACTTTGAATGAATCGACAGACAGTGTTGATACGACGTGCTCTGGCAGAGAATTCCAAATATTTCAAATTTCATAATTGTGTAGTGAAGACAGAAGGCCTACGGCCTGTGTTATTACTTTGCTAGTATGTTTCTGTGAGTATCTAGTACTCTCTTGAATGGGTCAATCAAAGGTGCAGACATTAATGACTCTGGTAACAAGTTACAAGACTTGATGAAAACTCGCATGCCACATATATTTTGTTCGTTCTCGGTTTTTCTACTCGTCTTCTATGTCCTCTGAGATGTCGCGATCCAGTGGGAAGAAAAAAGAAAGATATGACGTTCAAAACCACTTCTTAGTATTTATTACATCGAAATCAGATAACCACTTATTCTGTGGTAGGACAGAGTAAAGAGGTCTATTTTTTCAAGCAGTTTTTTGTATGGTAAACCTCGGAGTTCTGGAATTGCATAGGCAGCTGCCCCCCGTACGTTTTTCGGGATATCCAAGTCATCCTAAATGGTTCTGAGTGGATCTCCGTATTTAGTAGCAGTGGATCACCGATGTCTCCAGGTAGGAACCTAGGTATATTTTTAACGATAAAAGGAGAAATATTACCAGAATATAGTAAGACTGTGTTCTAAGTCTTTAAAAATATGGTAGGTTTTCCTGTAGAGAATTCCTAGGAAGTCGCTTGAACTACCTTAGCCGGCAGCGAATTTCATAATTTAACTAATTTTAAAGATTAAACGTTGAGCCTACGGTCCATTCTTCCATTTTGCGTATCTGATTTCTGGGTGTTACTCCTAATGTTTGATTCGTGACTGATCTTGAACAAGTGTTTGATGGGATGCTTAGGGGTGTTTAGGACGCTTTAGGTCAATCTGAGGTCACCTCAAAGGCGCTTATGCTCTAATATGTAAAGTTTTAGTGATTCCATGAGCTCCTCATAAGGTTTGAATTGATTTTGTGGCTCGCTTTTGGATAAGCTTCAGTGTCTTTTTACCCATTTTGGAGTGAAGGAGAAAGATGATATTCTCATGCTCTGAGATTGAAGAGAGATTTAAAAGATTAGGCGGAAATTTCTGCGATCGCACTGCTTAAAAATGTGCTCTAACCTTGCCGGTGCGAGGTTTTTCTCGGAAGGCTTTATGTCTCAGTTAGCGTAAGACAAACGTCATATGGTTACAACGCTCTTAAATCCATGTGTACAGGGATTTGTTAAGGTTGCAGTATATTAACAATTGAATTCACTAGTCAAACCGTGCTACTAAATCATTGAAAACCTGGAAGCACTGGACGGCCGTGTGACACAGTCGTCTCATGCTTTGATCTAGCGTAGACCGACTCGTGAACTTAACTGTGAAAAACTCTGAATTCTTTTCTAATTTTGGATACCTTTATGGGGGAATTGCCCAAGTTATATGTGTATTCCGCTACATATCTCCGATAGATAACTTCGCATTTCGTTGTTAAGAGTAAATTTGTTGCTGTCTGCCCAACTTTGGATTCGAGTCGGATCTGTAGTGTCATTTGGCCTTAACCACACAATCCTCAAAGCTGGACACGAGACACTTGGGAAAATAGATGTGCAACATTTAACACAAAGGAAAACCCAATAATGGAGAAAGCGGGAACAATGAATCGAACTGATTCGAAGTGGTCGGCCTTGCAGGCGTGGTCGATCTGTACAACATGCTTCTGCTCATATTAAATATATTGCCCTATCTCCAACCTGAATTTGTTCTCCATCATATATTGGTAATTGTTACAATACGATGAGTCAGTTTCGACAATGATATGACTTCCACGTAAGGTCTTATAGACTAGGCAGTTACATCATGACAAATGTACAATTTTAGGATTAGGTCTATTATTGAAGCAGTACTGATATCATGGTAGACCATGATTCTACAGATCTTCCTGAAGTGCCAACTTATCATCTTGGTCGCAAACTTATCACCAGGTTTACCAATCGTCAGCGAAAAGTAGTAAACTAGACGATACATGCTGGGGGAGGTCATTTATATAGGTTAAGGAAAGAAGAGGTCCTAGCACTGAACCCCGAGGGAACCCACTAAAACATTCCGTGGGCTGTGAAAAAGTGAATTTTACCTTGATCCTAAAACGTCGATTGCTTAGATATGGAGTAAGCCGGTCAATTAACGACGACTTGACGTCTATTCGTTTGAGCTTATTGATATGACATATATGTCTAGCCCTATCAAAAGCTTTGGAGAGGTCATGGTATGTCACATCAATCTTCCCCTTGTGATCAAGGATGATTGTCCGGCTGTCCATTGTGGTCGGCATGTTGGTCACGCAAGAGTGACCTCTCCTGAACCCGTGCTGTTGATGTGATAAGGCCACATATAACTAGCAGTTACGCAAACCATCGCATGCCAGGGACTCCATACGTCTAGTTAGTTTTAAGAGAAGTGTTCCTATGTTCACTTCTGAGAGTCCTATTGAGTTTCAGGAAGTCCCACGGCACCACGGTCACTGTTGGTTGGGCTGTGGAGTTATGGCCTAGTTCGGTATTAGTACTATTATAATAATAAACCTAACCCTGAAAGCGTAGATTTGTATTAATGTAATCACGTAATCTACGAGATTTTATGTGGAAGTTTCATCATTGTCTACACTGACTAATCATACCATAAAAATTTGCTATATAACTTCTCGTGTTTTTGAAGAACACATTCGGGTTTGTTATAACCAGCTTCATCCTTATAACAACATAGCATTTTCACTTATGTACACAGTTTTACTGATTAAGTATTCCGTAGTCCGCCCATATCTATTATAATACGGTCCAGACAGATTCGAAGATTTTTAACACATACTCTACATTCAGTATTGTTATTTATCCTACTTGCTCAAACACAATGAGGATGAAAAACTGAAAAAACAACCGTCTGGTATGCCACATAAAATGATGGACATTTTGGTTATTATCTTTACAATCGTATTGTTTGTTAGTTAACGAAGGAAAAGTGATTCTTCTTTGACTAACAGATATTAATTGATAATAACTAGATAAGTAGTTAATTTCTTTGTATAACAGTGCATATATAAAAACATATATAAAACAAAAGAGGAAAGATAGCCAACTTTTAATTTGTTTTGCACTGAAACTACATTTAACTAAATTTATAGGTTAGCGAGAGTATAAAATCGAGACGAGCTGGAAACAAACTCAAAGAATTCTGTGAGTATATGAGGAGTCTATCACCTTCAATTATAACTGTCTATGGATATACTAAAATACCGGAGGGATTAAATTTTTTTGTCGTCTTTACTAAACAGCTGGACTTATCACTCGATGAAGACACGAGATACAGGAAAAGGAATGATTACACTTATATCGTAGGTCTCATCACACTCAGACACACGATCAATATCCAACAACTGAGAACTATACAACAGACACAAGATATTGTCAACACAAGTACAACCAGTCTGCACACTGTGAATAGCAAATTTATAAATCAACAAGAAATAATTTACAATGTTAATTGTCTAAACCTCCGAAAACCTTAAATTATTATCTTATGTGTACATAAGGTAAGTGAAGAAACCATTCCGAGTTTCTTCAAAAATGTAATAACACACAAGTTTCAATAATTTTGGCATTTTATTTGCCATGTTTGAAAAAGAGAAGAAAATAATGATAATAAGTGTAATAGAATATTAACAAATCAGACTCCGTATAGTGGTGAAGAATATTGAGTTGACTTTAAGGTAGGAAAAAGGGAAAATAAGGGAACAGAAATAAAGGAGACACGAAATACGTAACTAGTTTAATAGGCGTGTTTGCGAACATGGAACAAGAATAGATGACTATGTATGTATCGTCAAATGAGTAACAAAAATGAAATAAAACAAAATAAATAGGAAACATAACTTATTATTGCAGCAAGACTTGACGTTATATTTAGTGTTTGTGTAGTCATATTTTGGAGTGAAGGTCTCAACTGATTGCAAATGTTAACCAAATATCAATATGTATGAGTCATGTATACATGGTGAAGATAAAACGTGTCTGAGAAGTTATTTTCAGTGTGACAAAAGTTAATGTCTTAATTACAAACTTCGGAATCTTAAGAATAATATTTATTTAGCAGGAAAAAAGAGACAATGGAAGTGAACACATAGTGAAAGGGTTCAACCATGATAATAACAATTGTGCGATGAATATCGACCTCCAAAGTAAACCAACAATTTTAAAAAATATCTATTAGTGCACTCGGATAAATACATTATTAGGATGCAGAGTAAAACTTGGTAACACTGTTGTGCAATTGCACGTTAGAATGATGACATGAAAGTCAAAATTAATTAGTTATGGACTTCAGATGTTTAAGAATAAAGTATGCTCAGAAGAAATAAAAGAGACGAACAGAACATCTTATGTGTCGAGAGACAAATCATGGTAACAATAACAGTAATAGTTATAAATATGAACATAAACAGACTTCACATAGTAGAATAAATAGAAAGAAAGTAGAATAAGCGTGAAACGTTTCAGAGGTTACACTTTGCTTTTCAGTCCATTGGATAGATGACGGACCTTTTTTATATAAACCATTATTGAACATAATGATATTCAATAGGTGTTACAATTCATTTTCGGAAAGAAAATCATCAAGGAGACTTCTGAACTGTATTGTAGTTTCACTGCAACGGAGGTTCACTAACAGTCTGTTCTGCATAGTTGATTAGCGAATAATGAAAAAATTCTTGCGTAAGTTTGTGTAGGTTCTTTAGATCGCTAGAACATTTTTCTTATCGCGTAAGTTGTGTGATTGTAAGATCCATTTTGAATGTTTTGTGTGTGAAAGTCCCTTCATGTATACACTTGCAGTTTGTTCCTATTGATCCATTCATTTGTACATTTTGTTAGTCTTTTGATTCCATTTGAGTTGGTAATATCTGTATTTTATTATAGTTTTTATTTTTCTTACGCCTTCACCAAGTTTTCATGTTTCTTCCTGAACTGCATTTATGTTGTTTCACTTAATGCTTAGTCTTGG